TAAATAAAGGCTCAGCTCTGCAGTCTGGATCTGTTCTGTGGCCTCAGCCAGTCACGGAAGATGCACCTAGACCCAGCTTTTTCTCTTTGTCTATCATTTCTCCATCCTTCATGACCCCCGCTCAGGCTCGCTGAACCATTGGCTGTGCTGGTGCGGCACAGTGTTGCATTGATATTATTTTATGGCCCGTGGGTTGCTCCTTACTCCACCTGCTTCCCAGTGCTTTCACCACCGGAGGGTACCAGCAGACCCAGGCGTGTCTGAGGGTGCGTGCTTGCTATTGGCGCATGCAATTTAACTAAATAGCAATGGAAGTATAAGAAAAAGAGTGTTGATTCTACAAAAACAAAGCTGATTGATTTGCAAAGACCAGGTTAAGATAAATTGCATTGAAAAGAAACCTGTCCAATTAGGAATGGGTGAGATAATTATAATGGACTGAAACCAAAGAGCCTAAGGTGGGCAGTGGGTGTGAGGTGCCTACGTTAGCTCTTTTGACAGAGCAGGCCGAGCTGCAAGGGTGGGTCTGGGCACAGGTATTGGTCTGCTTTCCCCACAGTTTTCAGAGGCTGCTCTGGACAGGGAATTGTCTTTGGCTCCAAGACACCCCTCGCTCCCACCTTGCTCAGCCATCTTTTCCAGCTCTTTGTGTCTTTGTTGATGTTTTGAATCTCTGATTTTTAGCCTCTCTTTTCAGACTCTGCATGTGGAAGGTTAGCAAGCATGAGGCTCTGTTTCTTCTCTTCAAGGCCTGGTCCATTACCATTTAAAATAGCGGTGAGCCCGTATTTACATTTTGATGTTTCATGCTTTATTTACTTTGCACATTGTCTATTCTGCTCTCCCCCAACCACCAACCCCCCCCCCCGGTTTTTCTCCCAGGCAGAATCTATCTTATCTGACATTGCAAAGCAGTTAACATTGATTCTGGTGAATGGTCTACTTTGATTTTTGCCACAGGGAGATTTTAGCACAAATTCACATATATTGTTTTCTCAACAAATAGAAAAATATGTTCCACATTCATTGTGCTGCAGATGGGAGCCTGCTATTTTGTAACTCACTGTCTCATCTCTTTTATTTGCTTTCTCTGTCACTGTCGATCTTTCCCTAATACTTCATCCTTTATGCAGACTCCTTCCTTGGAGCCGAATTTGGCAGTGGAGTTTGCCTAACTAATGGGGACCATATGCTCTGCAATTACATTCCCCAACAACATTCAGATTTGTTAGCAAATATTGGAAAAGGCAAGTTGAGAGACCGGAGTGCAAAGATTGTCAGGAATTGGCACATTCTGACAGGTAAGCCTGCTTTTGCTGACCCCTGTGAATGAATGAGTTCTGGTTTGGGCTGGTATTGGCTTAGGTAGAATAGGGGTTTGTTTTCGAAAGGATCAATCAATTGGTAGATCATTCTTCAAATGGCTAAGTGCCTGTCTTTATGTGTCCCCAATGGTATACTGTACTCACCCATAGATCAATTTTTAATACATGACAATAACCTGTGTATTTGTTGGTTCCATTTCTTCCCAGACCAAAGACTGGGATCATGATGTTGTTCACTACTGTGTTCCCAGCTCCCGGGAGAGAAATGTAAATGCAATAGCTGTTCAGTAAATACTTGGCTGATGAACGAATGAGAATCTCTAGAATACATGGTGTCACCACATTATAAGCATCACCTACAAAGAACTTTTCTCCCTTCCTTCAGGATGAACCAGCCTTAACCTGGGGAGCCAGCCTCCCTGAAAGAGTTTAAATTCACAGGATTCTGCATAAGATTTCAATCATGGCCCTGAACTGGCAGCAGTCATTTTTAAGAGGTCCCATTCTTGCCTTGAGATGATGTTTGTCCATCGCTCTGTTGTGGATGATGGGGGTGGAGGAGTCAACCTTTCACAGGTTGCCCTGATTTGCATGATCTAAACATGGGGGAAAGATGCCACTGTGCGGATGTCAAGAGAGGGTCAGTAGCCTGGAAGCAGGTGGCTGCAGCTGGCTGAGAAAGTAACGATCTAGCTCTTCAAGAGCCTTTTGGAAGGCTGCCCATTTCTCTAGAGGCCCGAATGCTGGGGGGTCTGCGGGAGCCTGTGGTGCCCACTCCATAGGGACTCTTAGGCATCACAGCTAATGACTGGCTCTTTTCTCCCCACTGCCCACTCCAGTCCTGGGCTGGCACCTTTCACAGAGTCCTTGGAGAGGTGGGGGTCTACTTGTAATCAAAGCTGGAAAGGCAAGCCCACAGATCCTATGAGTCCCCAGCTTTGCCTTTACCCTAGAGAGCATAGCAACCTGTGGGGAACTCAGGGACTTTGTCACTCTCACCTCCCACCCCACCCCACCCCACGGCCATGTGGGTGCCACAGAGACACAAGAAACACTTCTTTTAGAACACAAATACATAAATTTTTAATCTGCGAAAAATACAAAATGAAACCATGTACAAGTTATGTACAAACCCTTTTTACAAGACAAGAGAGTGATCACTGGTTGTTACAGATGACTGTTGGGTAGATCATTTCAGAGCACCAGCATTCATCCTTCCCCCCAGTTCCCGCTCGGTCACAGCCGTTACTTTATCATCACAATCATATGCCAACCAGCGAAAGTTTGAAACACAGATGAATAAGCCACGCTCCTTTTCCTTCACGAACATGCCGGCTGACCTTGGTGTAAGCATACCGATTTTCCTTTGTCCCCTGAAGAAATGTTGAGTGCAGGTTTGGGTGTGAGGTGGGGAATTTCTTTACTTTGGGTGTGAGTGGTGGCAGTGAGCCAGAAGTTTTAGGTAGGTATGATCCTGCTGCCTCGAAATGGAACATTTTAAATTAGGATTTTCAGGCAGATCTCAGTTTATGTCTGAAATATTGCAGTTCTTGTCAAATGTGTCTCAGGCTATACTCAGCAGTAAGAGGGGAGGGGAGCAGCCTCTTGGGGGTCAGGGTGGAAGTGAGGGGCCATCATCCTGTTGGCGGGGCTCCCTTACTTGCTGGCTGCCCTCTCACACTGACCCCAAGTCCCATGTGAGGACAGTCTGGTTGCCTCTGGCAGGCCTGTGCCGGGGGCCACATCCACATTGCTAAGATCCTCAGCAGTGGGCCCAGAACTGCAGCCTGAGGCCGAAACACTGAAGGGGTTTGATGACACTGTCATCCCTGCTCTGGGGAAAAACAAAGTGGAGGAGAAACACAGAATCCTCAAGGGGCTCATTAGACCAAAGGAAACTTAAGAATTCTTAAATCTATTTAGAAATCAAGGTCAGTTTCACCAGGTCAGAAAAAAACTCTGTGCTGCCTGTGTAGAAAAGCCACCAAAATGAAGTGAGTATAGCGTTTAAGAACCCTGACACCAAAGCTTCCCTGAAACCAGTGCTTCTGGTGGTGTATGGGGGTGAGAAACAATGGGGTGACAAGAACAGGGAAGTGAAAGAAGAGGCCCTCCTCAAGATCCCTCTCTTTTGACTTCTTCTCCAGGAAGAATGCCAGTGACCTTGAAGAGCATCCGACTTCCACTGCCATGGAGCCCAAAGCTACACACAGTGGCTGCTTGTCTACCCTGAGCCAGGCCTCATGAATGCTCTGGGGATAAAGACAGCTTCACAGGGTTCCTGGCCTTGTCAAGTGAGTCTTTTTGCTACTGAATCTCCAAATCCGATACCCTTCGCCTCCAACCATGTAGATGACTCACCCTCTCTATCTGAAAGTTTCCCTCTCAGGTTTCCCATTTTTCTGAATCTGGAGTATCCTAGATCTCTTACCCCAAGAGTATCTACTTATTTTGTTTCTTGTAACCTCTAAAATCATGGGTGTGGCCCCTAACAATTGTCTGCCAGTTGATTTTTCATAATTCCTCTTTTGGAGAACTCAGCCATTCTTCCTACTTTACGAACACTGCTGTGGACCCAAGGTGCCAATCGCCAAGGTCTTCCCTAATCCTCTCCTCAGCTCCTCACTCCTCACGCCTGTAAGACCTTCTCTTATTTATAGCTCTCATCTTCTTCCACTCTGGGCGAATCCAACATTTCTTCACTCCTCCACATGGTTCTTCCCTTGAGGTCCAAATTCAGTGTTCCTTTCACAAAGAACCTCTTCTAGAACTATAGTCATTGTCCCTACCCCCAGCCCACGCAGGAGCTTCTACAACTCCCGCTAAGCATCTCTATCAGGATGCCTAACACATAGTGGAGGAAACAGGAGCTTCATAATGTTGAGATTTGACTTGGCGAGTCCACCCTGAGAATTCAACGCCACTGAGAATTGGTTCAGCCCTGGTCACAGTCTTAGGGCTTCCAGGAAGAACTGACATCTCAGAACTTCCTGCCTGACACCACACAGGCACTAGTGCTTATCATTCTCTGTTTAGAACTTTTTTTTTTAAAGTATTTTTTATTGATTTTGTACAGAGAGGAAGGGAGAGAGATAGAATGCTAGAAACATCGATGAGAGAGAGTCATCAATCAGCTGCCTCTTGCACACCTCCCACTGGGGATATGCCGGCAACCAAGGTACATGCTCCCAACGGGAATCGAACCCGGGACCCTTCAGTCCTCAGCCAAAGCTCTATCCATTGAGCCAAACCGGTTTCGGCTTTGTTTAGAACTTTTTAAACCAAGTCTCAACCTCTTTGCTTGCCCTTCAAAACTGTTTACTCTCTAGCTTGGCCCCTTCTAGGAGATCTCATCCTCGTTTTCCTCAGTTCCCCTATGTGAACTTGTCACTGTAGTAAAAATGATCTATATATTGAAATCACATTCTTATCAATGAGCTATGGCCCATTAAGCCCCCTCTCACTGGAAAACCTTCACACTCCACATTTCTCGAGTCACTTATCACCTATTGAAATACCTCCCAAAGGCATCAAACACTACATTCCTCTGTATCTTCTCAACCCACATAGGCCAATACAACCTCGCTCTCCTTTCAACCCAAAGCACTGTCCCTTGCCATAACATACGTGCTCTTGGCTGGCACTTTAAAATGCTGTTTATACCCGTATGTTTTGGTTCTTTCTTCCTACCTCCTTGATGAATGTCTTGAGCTTGGATTATCTCTAGATATGGAAGTCTCAGGCCAATTTTCTTCCAAAAAATAAAATAAAAATAAAAAAGAAAAAGGCAAAAAAGGAAGGTCTGGTACAGATAGCCTATCTGAAAATTGCCTCTCAGTCTAACCCTGTAAGGCTGTGATATCAGGAAGCCTTTGACTGTTGTAGGGACAAAGGGCTGCTGCTTCGGGCATGTGGCCTCATTTCTCTCTGTACATGTTCCAAGCAAGCTTATCATAGGAATGGCAAATTAGGCTCTGCAGTTCCTTGGGAAATAAGATTAAAGTATTTGAATTGTTGTATGGAGATTTTTAAAATATTAACAACTGGTACAGCAAGGGGAACTACCAATCAAAACAGACTTCGCCTAAATAACCAATATGGCCACGCCAATACAAACCAGCTAGAAATCATTTCTAATTACTACTTTTTCATAAATAAACCCAAAGGGCTACCTCGCTTCCTCCAATTAACATGGGATCTAAATGTTAATTCACCTGTTCTAAATGGAAAAAAAAAATGGGCCGAGTGAAAAAGGGACACAAAGGGAATTTGCCAGGTGAGTTGTAAGTGAATTCTCATTTCCTTCTGTATTTAAAAGAGGATGAGTTAAAAATCCTAAATAGTAAAGGCCCTTTCCTGAGGTCTGATGATTGGTCATTTTACCACCACTGCAAAGGCAGCAAATAAGAACAGAATATAACATAGACAGAAGAGAAAGTAAGCAGATTCTGACTGGAACCCCATGTCCAAGTTGAATAGATTCCAACTCCTATGAGTAAGAAGTTCACATCTCAGTCATTTGGTTTGGTGTTCTTTTTATTTTTCTCTCTTGTTCTAATCTCTTCTTTTTACCCCTTCCTTTCTTGTTTCCTTCACCGAGGTTCTCTTTCACAATGAAGAATTATATATTGAAATTAGACTTATTAATGCAAGTAGCAAAGAGATAGCTAGTGTACTAATGGAAGAAAAAAATCAAATAAACAGAGAATATGGAATAAAATGAGAAGTAAAACTAATTACTTCCTAAAGCCCAGATACCCATGTAGAAATAAAAACTGAAGAAAACTTCAGAAATCCAGTATTCATGAGCCTATAACTACATATTGGAAATTGGAGATACGGATTAGAAATGGAGGGATTGACCAAAACTGAACCTTGAGCCAAGAAAAAAAAGGCAAGCAGGAATGAGATTGCAAAGAAAACCTTAGGAACACACAGAAAATCTAACCAGTGTGTTCCAGGAGTATTTAAATTTTGAAATTTGTGTTTTGAGCCTTAAGAGACTGTAAAGTGTAAAGAATGAACTTAACTGCTGTGTGCCCAGAGCAGAAAGTGCACAGTTCCCTCAGGAGTGCTGCCTGGGAGATGCAGCGAGGAGGACCATCCTGACAGCCCAGAACACAGGTTGTCCCCGAAGTCTGGGTCCCACGCTCCCACTCCTAGCTCAGATCCTATTCCCTTAGCTCTGAAAGGGACATTAGGGTCATCGAGATGAATCACTCTCATTTACAGAGCGGTCACTGAGACTCAGAGAGCTCAAGGACATTTTCATAACCCATCTACTAGCAAATGTAGCTCTAGAATCCTCAATTAAACCATTAGTAGGAAAGTTGGACTCTCGCCTTTTCACATGAAAATATGCCCAATTTTCTTATGCCTTTTCACTTCCCCCCTTTCCAATCTCAAACAGTTTGAATTTTCAGTTAATTTCAAGTCTTCAGTTACATTCTGTACAAAGTACATCATTAGATGCCCCAGTCTTTCAAAGGAAAGAGGTCTGAGTGTTCCCCCCACATGCCTTAGTCACAATCACTTTTACTTAAGATGTTTTCTATTGGTTCAAGGTGATGTTTTAAAATATAAAATTTCTCAGACCAAAGTGAAAGCATTCCTAGAAAGAAAGATGATGAAGGTGATGATGCCTTTATAAGTAGGTGCTTCCTGTTTTTATAAATAGCCTGTTGGTGAGCCTTTGATTTCCAAAGCACGCAAGAATCTTTAGTTTGGTAAAACAGCATTTCTGAACCGCAAGCTTGGATGGCAGGTCAGACAGAGCCTTATGACACTGACTGTACCAATGATGACCATCATTGCTCTATCCTGAATTTATCCATAAAGATAAATTTTTGCCCTGGTAGGTGGAATGAGCACACCCTCCGGGACAGAGGGTTCAGGGAACAGAAACAAGCCTGGAAGCTCTGGTTTCCTGGAGCCCTTCGGGGACCCTACAGTCTTGCTTCTGTTTCCATTTCACTTCCAGCCTACCAGGAAGCAGCTTTTGTCTAAGGAGTGACCAACCAATCATTTTGCACACCTCCTCAAACACATGCCTGCTTTTTTCTTCTGGCCAATTCATTATTTCCAAGGCAAACAGCTTGAGCTTCCTGCTCCACCTTAGAAGAAAACTGATTCCCACTAATTAGTGTTTGGGGGGGACTCCTTTGCTGTAGAAAACCATCTTAGCTTTTTAGTTAAAAAAAAAATAAAAAAAGTTCAGATTCCAGTCTCTGGCCACGATGGGCAGGGAGTTTACTGCTTTCAGACTGACTGGTGTGGCCGGAGGAGGAGAGGGCAGTGGGCAGGGGGCTCAGGGGCCTAAGTTCCTCTGAGGTCTTTAGGTGGCCACCATCACCCACCGGAGGAGAGCAAACAGGACAAATTCAGAAAGGATTGTCAGGAACATGAGTGGGGAAGAGTCCACCAGGGTTCATGAAGGAAAGAAGAGCGTGGCTTGGTGTGAATGTGCTGAGAGAGTCCAATGCAAAATCATGTGCAAAAGGAGGCCCGGCTCCCGGGGAAGCTGTCAAATCCCAGCCAGAGAGAGATCCGCCCCACAATGGAAACCAGGAGATGCCTAGAAGCCTGATAGGGACTGCTGAAGTCATTTTAGTCTGCTGAGTAGGCTAGCGATTGGTTATAAGTAGTTTTTAAACAACCCAATTGGACATACATTATATTCACAATACTTTTATAGAGCTAAGGCTACAGAATGTGACGACACAGTCTGACAAGTCACTTCAGGACGGCGCCTACAAGCACGAGGACGTTGGCTCCGCAGGGAGTGGACAGAAGCGGAAGCTCGTGTTGCCTATGTTGTAACTGGAGGACTTAGTGGGCCTAAGTTTTCATGGTGACCGCATGGCTTGCCTCTGATCAGATTTGCACTAACGCACTAGTACCACAGGGTCATGGCCTAAAGAATTAATGGGATAGATAGTATGGGACTTTGCGGGGGTATTTTGGTAAGTTTGGTTTCTTCAAGTGTCCACAGTTTACATTTTCAAGGAAAATAAAAAATCACTATCATATCCATGCTTTTCCAGAGACCCTGCTGACTGTATCAAAGATGGATAATTTTGAAATTAAAAGACTTGCTCCGTCGTTTGGAATAAAACAGCTGCCGGGACCACTGTACAATGGGCATGCAAACGACAGCAGGGCTCCGGGATGTGGGGATTGTGTCTGGTGGCTAGAATGAGTTTTGACCACAGTTTGAAGTGGCTCATACATTTGATTTCATTGCTGGTAAATTTCAAAGGCCCTTCCCAACAGTCCATTGTAAGTGCATTCATTGCTTTCCTTTTGTTACTAATTTTCACATTGCTATAGCAAGTTTGTAGGTTTTTGTCCCAGCGACTGAAAGCAAGCCCAAAGAGCTAAAATCTGGCAAAAGTCATCTCCTTGGTTATAGAAAATATCTGGCTTTCAAACAAAAATTCAGTGAAAAGAATGAATGTAGTATTACATCCTACAAAATGATTCATTAGTGTTTACAAACTTTCAGGCTAAAATCTCTGAGAATTGGGGCATGGGGAAAGCCTCCCTAGACGCTTTCATGGTTGAAATCACTTGCGAGGGTGGTTCCGAGCTATGAAGTGAGAAGCTAACAGCTGAGGAGTCCCCACCACTAGGACAATAGGCAGAGCCACTTCTCCTGTGCATCTGGCCCTCAGTGTCCACATGCCAGCGTGCTCACCACGCTCCGGGCTGCCAATGGCTGGCTGAATCTGACCTGGCAATTGTAGAAAAGCTGCGAGAAGGTTTTCTCTTTTAAGTATATGAACGAAGGGATAAGAAATACAGAAGGAAAACTAAAACTACAAAAATATGACTTTCAACTGTGAAAATAAACGTTTCCATTTATTAAGAGCTGGTGTCAGTGCAGCCAAAGTACACACCCATCCAGGGAATTCACCTGTCCCCTTTCATCTTTTTTTTTGAATTTACTAAAATACATGTTTACATCATTGAACCATTAAAAGTTATTTTTTTAAATAATCCATTTCCTCTCATTAAAATTAATCGTGGTGGTGACCATCATTCTCCCCAAAGAAAAAGAGAGAAAGAAGAGAAATACGCATTAAGGAGTCTGGCCACATATTCATTTTGATTTTGCATTGTATAGATCTTGGGAAGATATTTGACAATGAAAAAAAGAAAAGAAAAAATATATTTTCTTTCTAATAAATAAAAATAATTTAAAATGCTAGAGGCTATACATGACTATTTTAGTACGGTATATTCATTTATAAATGAAATCGTTTTCTTCTCCAAAATGCATGGAAGCAATATTCAAGGCAGACAAAGAGAAAGATCTGTCTACTTTATCTTTCTTGCAAATCTCGCTTATCCTAAGGTTTCCACCAGTGATTCAGTGTGTAAGAGGAAGAAAAGTCACATCACCATTTATGAAGTTTGTCAGGCTTTAAAAAAATAGTTCTGGTCTCCTGGGAGTCAACATTCATCTTCAACTTCTCTGATTGGTGGAATCAAGCTGCTTGTGGATTTATATTGGTTGATCTGGTTAGCCATGTGGGTACTCATGGGCTTGATTTGAATGTTTCTGGGATAGGCATTATCCGGTTCATCTGTAAACCATTTCTTTTCTGCTAAAGGGCAAAAAATGGATAGAGAACAAGAAGGAGAAATGAGAAGCTTAATTAGTTCTAGGGCAAAGCTTTTGGAAAGTTCATAGAAAAATGCAAAAAGGCAATAGATAGAAGCTGACAATGAAGTCATTGCTAAGAGAGACAGTGCAATATAGGGAGAACCCCAGAACCTGAAACATACCTCTGTTGCCATAGCAAGTGATGACCAAGGGGCCATGAGGACTTGAGGCACCAGGGGGAACCTCAGAGAATACAGAAGGGTTGGAAAGCAAATGCTGGTAATGTTCTCTGGGGTTCCTTTAGTGACCGGAAAAGCTTTGGTGGGAAGAAGATGCTAAATATATCAACTACTAGGTATAGCCATGGTACCAGAGGAGTGATTTGGGCATCAATTGATCTGAGTGAACTTAAGGAGCACTGTCTCTGCCGCAGAGTGAGTGATGTATTGTAGAATCTCACGCAGGGTCTCAGTCTCTCAGTCTGCATTTAGCTTTGCTTGTCAAAAGCACACTTCAACTTGTATCTCAATTGTTCCATCCTTCTGTTTTGTTTGCAAGCCAGTTTTGAGGGCCTTAAGTTGAACCCATAGATTTTGCTGGCCACTGAGATTATAGAGTAGAATAGCAACCGATGTTTTCAGAAGACTTTGAAAGTTCAAGAAAGAAAACTGGGTGTTGGTATAAAGTTATGAAAAGAATTCCTAGTGGCATTGTCTGATCTGACTATACTAGCCCAAGCTGTTGACAAGGGGGCTCAAGGAAGACTTGGCATTTCATTTCCATCCTGGAAGCAGAGATGGCAGAGGAAGAAAGCTGAGTTGGAGCGTTTTCAGGGCCCGGCTGCAATGCAATGGCCTGGCTTCCTCTTAGCAAGTCAATGCCTGTTTCTAAGACTTAGCCTTCACCCCAGTTCTTTCTCAGATAGAAATTTTCTGGAAAAGAGGCCATTTGTATGTTCTGGGCAAATAGGACAGTCTAACTTGGGAATCATATGCCTCCTTTTAGTGGCTTAGGATAAAAAAAAAAAAAAAAAAAAGGGAGTAGCTTTCAAGCTCACCCATTGCTGTAGAGACAGTAACCCCTCCAGCCGCCTTTTCTGCCTATCAGAGCAATTCATAACTGCCTTGTCGGTGGTCCTAAACTGATATGTTCACAAAAAATGTTCACCTGGCATGACAGAGGGGGCTGTGTGAGCGAGTGCATGTGTGTCCAGCATCTATGTTTAGCTGATGGCCACTTGGCTTATTTCTCCTTGGTCTATACTTTGTCTCCGTGTGAAGTACACCAAGCCCTCAAAGTCAACACTAAGGCTGGAGCTGGGGGCCGGAGGGGTGCCTTGGTGCAAGCTGACTCACTACTCTTTGTTCAGCAGCTCACTCTACCCCCCAGAAAACTTCCTGCCTAGCAGACTCCTCTCTTACCCCCCTTTCTCCTGCTCTGGCTCTCTCACCTATTATAATTAAGTTCACTTTGATTTGAACAGATTGGACGATAGGAATTCATAATGCTACATCCTCACAGCGAAGCTAACTGATTAAGTGCTTTAAATTATTCCCCCTGACAGAATGATAAAGTTACAATCTGTTCTGAGATGATCTACAGCTTGCCAGACTCCTACAGCTTCTTTCTACATTCATTTATCTTTTTGTCAAGCGGAGTTTTTTTTTTTTTTCGTTTTTTTTTTCCCCTCCTTTCTTTCTTCCTGAGCTTCAATTCCATAGATCTTTTAAAGTCATCAGCACATCTGAATTATTAATGAGGCTTTCGAGGCAAGGTTCCTGATGGGCTGGTTAAGAAAGGTTGTATAGAAACCCGGGACTGTGTACACATCAAAATAATTTCAGCTCCATTTAAAAAACCATTTAGTTCAAGTGTGACATAGATGAACCATTATGCATTTGTGGAAACCAATTTTTTTGTGATCTACGATTAAACTAACCTTTCAGAGAGGAGTAAAGTGTGATGGTTATCATGTTTTAAAAGCATTGCCAGACCGCTGAAACAATTTCAAACTATGACTTTTTCCAGCGGTTTATGTGTAAAGATGATGTGAGAAGCGCCGTTTGCCTGGGCCACCATGTGGACTGGTTTGGCAAAGGGATTTAGTGCTAGGCTGCTCACGCCAGGCTGGAAGGGAGAGTGAACTCTGCACAAGAAAGCGAGTAGGTCTTCTGGGTGAAAGACCTAAGACAGCTGCAATTTGCTGAAATTTTTACAGCTGCTGCCGACAATAATTGTTCAGAATTTAGTCTTTACAGTTCAATTCAAAGTTGGCGTTTTGACCTTTCACGGCAGCAGAGAATATCAATTTCCTTCTGCTGCCTGTAAGAAAGAATTATTTCCCCATGTAATCCGCTTTCTCCTTCATTTTAAATGTCTCGCCCTAGGAGCATTCTAAGGAGAGTAGCCCCTGTGTTTTGACCATTGGGCTTTGACAAAGTTGTGTTAACGCCCATCCGGGAGGCAAGCTGAGGTCTCCTTGTGCCTGAGACACGGGCTTTTCAACTTGGTAGGAGACTTGGTGAGCTAGGATATGGAGGAAGTGGAAATATGCCAATGTTCTGAGCGCTGTACTGGACTGTCTGGGGCGGGGGCATTGCATGAGGAGCTTCTCCCAAAGGGCTTCAGTGGCACAAACACTTGATCGCCAGCCTTTCTGCTTCAGCGGAGAGAGTTTTCAAGTATGATAAAATGACACCCTGGTTTAGTGAATCTTGCCTTCCATAAAAGAAACCGTGACCATGGGTGGGCTACAAAATTGGCCATGAGGAAGGGTGTTCAGGGAAGAAATTCAAAAGCGTGATGAAGTGGGGGCCTAGGATGAATTCAAATCCCCAAGTGTATCTCCTGTCCTTGCCTCGGCCCACGTGCTAGAAAGATTTCCGGAACTGCATTTCATCCCTAAGATGAGAAGGGCAATAGGCCTGACTGAGGGGGCCTCCTCGCTGCCAGAGAAGAGCAGCCCTGCTTGTTAATCAGCTTCCTGAGGACCAGTGCTGGCAGCCTCCCTGGGAGCACACGGGTGACCCGCTGGAGTGAGGACGGGAGTGGCATTGCACCGTCTGTGGCAAGTGGCCCAGTAGAGCCAGATGAAACCTGGAAGTAGCTGCAGAGAGATGCTGGTAAGGGAGCTGCACTGCCATTGGTGGATGCCCCCTCTCCAGACCAGCCATGCCATGATGTGTCGGCATGGAGCAGAGGGTTAAGCTCAGATGGACCCGGCTCACTCACATCCTAGTTGCATGGCTCTGAGCAAGTTATTAGAAAATGTGTCTTAGCTTTAGTCTCTCTTCTGTAAAACGGGGCCTAATATAGGATTGCCCTAATGCTATGGCTTGGATAAAAGGAACTGGGGTCTATAAATCACTTACTACAAGTCCAGAAGCAGGTTAAGTCAGTGTGAGCTGTTAAGGTTATTAGCAATTATTAGTAACATTAGCAAGGCATTATACCATAGTAGCACAATGTATAGACTTAAGTTTTGCATTCCACTCTGCTGCTTCCTATTTAGGTGACAATGAATACACCTATCCCTCAGATTCTGCATCTTTCACACAGGAATACCACTAGCATCTACATCGCTGCTATATAGGATGGGAAGTATTTTTCAGTATAACTGCAAATGAGCTGGGAGTAGAGAACTGATGTATATAAATTGTGGGAGGAGGGCACTCTGATGTGAAGAATGAGGATTGTGGCAATAGAGGCAACAGAGGAGGGTTTAGTTGGATAGTCTTCCTATGGAAGGTGAGGAGCAGGGGTGACCTGTCTGGGAGGTCAGGGCTCACACCCTCCTCTGGTCCCTGCATCTTTGAAATATTGGCTTTTGCTCCACAGGCACCCCACCCGCAAATCATTCCCATCTCTCCCTGCTACTTTCATCGCTGAGACTCAAGGGTCCAGAATAGGGTCAGCATTTCCTCCAGCCACCAGAATATTAGGCTACAGAGGGGAAGGCCCCCGATCTGGGCTGACATTACTGCTGGGGACCCAGAAGCAGAGAGACAGGCTGCACTGTGAAAACTGAGTCTCTTTGCTGGCTCCGTGGGTTGTCAGCGCTGTGGGATTTAGCCTTTTCACATAACTGCTCCCCAGAGGAGAATGCATTAAAGGAGAGACGATGATACAGGGGAGGCATTTGGAATAATTGCCCCTCTTCTCACCGTGTCACAAGCTGAGGTTCAGAGAGAAAGGGATTGAAAGAAAAGGATTCCATTTGGACAGACATAGCGGTTGAGGACAGGAAGAGCTAACAAGGAGTGCAGCCTTCGAAGGTGATGCTGTGTGGTTTCACATTGCCCGTTTCTGAGAGGGGGTCTGGCATTCACCCTCTGTCTTACAGACCCCCAGGCTCCCAGGGGACCCCACCCACACAGTCACACAGTCTCCTTTCATCTCCATGGGCAGAGTGTGGCTATTTTATAGAAATGAAAGTCATTGTGTACCGGCACCAGAGCAATTTATGAAAACTATCTCACTTCTTTGCAATTGTCCACTACTACTGCATTGCCTCCTCTTCCTGAAAATCTAATGCTGCCTTTGCCAGGGCAGAGCAAACTGCCCCTCCTGGCCCTCCAGGCCTGGAGGGCGGAATTCACAATCTTCCCTTTCAGGTGGCAGGTGGCTGAGATAATCCCTCTCACTTCCCCAAGGAATGAATGTGCAGCCTCCTGGTGGGAGACAGGCAACCAGGTTAGTGACAGGTGCCCACAGCTACTTCTTTATCATGTTTTGACAAAGCAGGATGGGCTGCAAGGAGCTGGCTGAGACATCGATTTTTACCCTGTCTGGACTTCCACAGGCCCCGAGTTTCTGTGCTCTTCTCTTCCTCCTTCAGGAGCCTGTTGCTATAGGAACCGGGCAGGTTGATCTAATTATCTCTATTGGGATGCAGACACCTTTAGGCTTTTCCCATGCTGAAGAAGAGCCGGGCAAAAGGTTTTCCTGGTCACCCGGGATCTTGGCTATGCTGGCAGAACATACAGTCCATCTCCGCTCACTGAGCTCGCAGGACTGTTCCCTTTTCCCAGGCACTGGGTGCCCAGCCCAAGAAAGTGCCAACAGCATAGCAGCATCCTGAGGGCACCTACTGGCATCTGTTGTGTTTTTTAAGATAAGCCAATGGGGTAGAGATAGTTTATAAAATAATGAAAGACATAAAAATGTCTAAGGTCAGTGTATTTCAAAGTATGTAATGAGCACCTATTGTGAGCTAAGTTCTGGGGCACAATTTTTAGTGTTTATAATAGAATTTGAGACGTTTCTGGACTGCGGTATAAATATACACACAGGGGTCCAGCTTTCTCTTTAGCCATTTGAACTGGCTTCAGGAAGGACCCCAAGTAGCAATCATTAGGGATGTTGATGGTTTCATTATCATTTGAGTTTTGAGGCTGTGGAAGCCTCCTGGTCTACCCACTTACTTTTAAGGTTTACACCTTTTGAAACCTAAAGCAAATTGGATTGAATGGCTTACAAATTGCTTCCCTTCTAGAATGGAGCAGGTAATTGAGCTTCGACCTGTTGCTCTGTTTAAATGCACATATGTTCTCTTCGCATAACTCACTTTCTACCCTTACCTACTAGATTCTTTTTTAGGGGGCTCAGGGGATAAGAGAGACATAAAACTTGTATGCCTCCTCCCTGAGAGAATCTGACGGAGGAATGGGAAGTTTGGGGTCAACAGAAAACAATGGAAGAGACTCTTAGTCCTATGGAGGAAAATATAGTATAGTCGTTTTGGCTAATAAAATAGAAGTAATAATAATTATACCTTTTCCATCACTGAATATATTCATTACCCAAGTATAGTCAACTCTCAATTGTGTGCCCAAGTCCAGGAAAAAACCCCAATGTCATCTCACGTCACAGTCTGGTTCCACTCCATTCTCATCACAATATCATCTCATCAGAGCTGATAACAGATTGCATATAAAAGGCATTTTAGATCTACTTCTTTCTATCTGCCCAATCTCTGGTTGGAATGTAACAAATGTCTGAAAGGCAGGTGGCAGGAGAGACCTGGGTAATATAGAGACTGAATCGTTGGCCCCCAGATAACTGGGTTTGAGCCACTGAGTTGCTACATACAGTTGCACAGTTTTAATTTGGGATCACACTGATCAAACATCAAGGAGACCAATGCTTTTGCCATCAATAACCCTCCTGGTTTCAATCGCAAGGAGGATGAAATATTACCCGAGAAGCAGGTTTGCCAAATGTAGTACTGCAAATATTTTCCAGAAAAGTTTATCACCTGGCATCATCCCTCGATTTAGTAGGTCTTGCCAAGATAAACACAGAGATGTGGACAGACTGATGGGGGACTGGGTTGGGGTGGTGGTAAATGGGGGGAGGAGTGGAGGAAGCTGGGTTTCTTGATGGGAAAATGCTTTTGAACTTGGAGCAAGGTACCAAGGTGGGCAGGGAGGCCACGTGCAGATTTAAAGGCAAGCCAGATGGAGAGAAGTTCCCCCCAAATTACCCAACCCCAAACCCAGGAACACCAAAACAAACTCTAAAGGGTCTAGCAGTAGCAGCAGCACAGCCTCATTGCGCTGAGCAATTTAGAAAGTGGAGGGAGGAAGAGGAGGAGGGGAGAGGAAAGGAGGGAAAATGGGAGGGGGGGGGAAAGCAAAACGAAAGAAAACCACAAACAGAACAATAGAAATAAAAATAAACAAACCAATAACAGAATAAAATTTGAAACTCCTTTTTTTTTTTAATGTCACAAAAGTTTTCACAAGGACAACGGTATAGAAGAAAAACCCCCAGCAGTGGCTAGGTCATGCAGAACCATTAATTGTCATACCTTGGCCCATTCTATTCATCCTTGTTGCACTTTAGAGAGAGAAGTAAGCTATGTGAGTTTTACAAGGCTTTTAAACTGTCATATTTCCTGTTGAGCACTTTAACTGGCACATTCTTATAGTTATAAATGTTCTGAGGGCATTACTTGATAGCCTCCTTTGCAAAGAAGGTATGGAGAGGTCTTCATGATCCAAAACTAGGGCGTGTGTGTGTGTGTGTGTGTGTGTGTGTGTATACACACATATATATATATACACATGTGTATATATGTGTATATATAGAGAAATATTTATATAGTTATATATAAAAAGATAGGTAATTATACATAATATATAAATCAATATCTAGGGACAAAAATAATTTGGAAAAGAAAACCTTCCACTCATAGGGCTTTGTAATATACATGTATACAGTTATCCCCCACCCCTTCACTGGTTTGAATACTGCCTTTCGTGTGGGGATCAGGGTTCTGATTGAGCCTCACCATTTTGTCAGTAAAAGTGCTTGTCAATTCACACAGCAAGCGAATCTCCAAAACTACCATGCTTGGGGGAGCAGGGCATCCAAACTCTAAACCAAACCATTCACCATAAAAACACCTTTTCAGAGATGGTACAGCTGTGACATGTTCCTCCTTCCCTCCACCCCTCTGCTGTTGGATGGGATTTTTTTTTTTAAGTAAACATGTTAAATATGTATTTACCAGCCCAGGGCTAGCCCATCTGCGTAAGACTTCGGTTAAGGTGGATGGCCGGTTTGTAACAACTACCGCACTGCCTAAAGCGTGATTTGCATGCATAAAACACCTGACAACTGTGTACTGAAAAGAGGGCATTTTTCTACCTTTCCTCTCATGCTTACTAACTGACAAAAAGAAAGAAAGAAAACAAAGGAAAAAAATAATTATACCAAAATGTGTTTGGCTCACTGTTGTACTCTCCTCCTCCTCCTCCTCCCCAGCTCAAAGTGACAAGGAGCAGTTGCCTATGACTGCCCTTCGCCGGCCTACGTGAATTGGCTATGATTAAGAAATTGATGAGGAGGAATTTTTCCCACCAGCTCTCGGCTGTGGGACAGCCAGCGTCATGCAGCTGTACCAACAGTTGAAGGTGGTAGCTGGCTTTTGTCTCTGTTGAGTCAACTGTGGCTCGATCCTCCTACATTCCAACTTATTTAGCATGTTGGCTCCTAAGAAACAATGATGTGCTGCTGGCTTTATCTTCCTCTCTCGGCACCGTGGCCCCAGCCCTCGTTCCTACCAGGCATGGGGGCCCTAGCTAATCAAACAGAGGGGAGTAAAAAGGTCCCCTGAGAATGTGTGGAAAAATACTTGCTCTTTCCGGAGCATTATTTATTCTGTACATAAGGTAAGTAATTCACCTTTTAAAAGATGTAAAAGTCCCAGGAAGGCAGTTTTTAATGACTTACATCTGATATTTATGATACATATGGCTTTTCATCCCAAATGTCAAAAGGGAAAGGAAAAAAAAAATAACTATTCATATGGCAGCGTAAGGAGACAGAATAACAATTTAATATGCAATCAAACCTCTTTGCACTTAAATTAAATGACTAGAATTTGATAGATCCACAAATGGGATATGATTCTTTCCTCCACCGTGAGGGTAGAAATGCTCATCTGAACTCCCCAAGGAAGCCAGCTCTGGGCCTGAAGCCCCAGGTTAGGAGCTAAAAAACCTCAGATGTGCTCTGACAGCAAGCAGAGACTTAACCATCTCATACACAAATGGGGAAAGCTTTGCAAAAGCTTCGAGATCCTTCGGCCCAGAGAATGGAAACATTCTACACGTTTTTGTTCCTTTTTGGTTGCTTGTTTCAAATAAACATATGTGTATATATGAGTGTGTATATATAAGAAAGGAAGGAAGGAAGGAAAACAAGAACGAAATCAAAACCCAAAGCACCCTGATCATCCCGATAAGTCAGACTGCACTTTTCTTCTACATCAACTTCCCTAACTAGTTCACTTCAGGGATCGCTGAGCGCTCTGCTAATCTGCGACCTCATTCCCACAGTGAGCTATTTAGGGCTGGAGCCTGCCTTTAGGTTATTGTCCCCCTAGAATCATAAGTAACTTTTGGTCCTTCTGCTTTGTTGCTGTTGTGCTCAAGGGTTTTATGGTGGTGAAATAAAAAGGACAACCACATGCACACTATCATACATATGCAAATATGTGTAAAAAAAAGGGGGGGGGGGAGGACTACAGGGGGAAATGGGGAGAGTTATTGTTGGAAACACCCACTGGGGAAATGAGTGGCAGATACAGTTTCACACACGGTGGCAGTGGATACACATATCAGAGCCGCTCTTCCTGCACGTACTTCTGTTTGTCTCGGGACTCCCGGGACTTGGGCCGGTTCGGTCGGTTTGCTGTGGACGGGATGGAGTGAACGGAGGAGCTCTTCTTGCTGGAGGACTGGGACGAGTGGGAGGAATGGGAGAGGCTGGCCCGGGACTGGCCGGCGTTGTGGTCAAACTGCATTAAGCAGAAGATCAGGTCCGTCGGCACGAGCTCAAACTCGTACGGGGGGTTGGTGATGACATACCTGGCCGGGGAGAACAGAGAGGTCACAGGGTGAGGAGGACTGGGTGGAGATGTCACCTGACTCTGCATCAGAAGGAATTGCCTGGCTCCCCAGGTCTACCAGACCCCCTGGAAGGTGGACTGATGGTTGGTCCAAAGCCTTAAATGTTATCTTCCGAGTTGAACTAAATCTTTATTTAATCTCAACAGAGGAGACCAGCCATAAATCCTGACATCCTAAGAGGCCGAATCAATGCCGGTAATGGAAAAACCAAACTGTGCTGCCTGTGATCTAAGGGCCCCTGTCAACCATGTCAGGTTTGCTTCCCATCCTGAGTAGCCCAAGTGCACATAGGAGGTTGCATGGACTGCACTGTGCCTTTCATTCTAGAACGTTCTGATAGTCCTCGGTACACACCCCAGGATCTTTGCTTACCAGAAGGTAGCATCTTCTTAGTCCTTCCTCACTCTTTATCTTTTAAAAATCTACTTTGGTGGGGATTTGACTAAATGAAGAAAATAGAACACCCCCTTGTCCATGAGTCCTGTTTTAACTGTGCTCCTCAGTGTGACCAGGCTTTCTCTGCTTCACAACAGATATGACTTAAAAAAAAACAAAAAAACAAACAAAAAAAAACTGTTTCATTGACAGCAGTGGTTTGCAAAGTGTGGTTCTCAGGCCAGAGATATCCGCATTACCTGGGAACTTAAAAATGCCGATTCTTAAGCAACTGCACCCCAAACCTACTGAATCAGACACTCTGGGCATGAGGTCCCACAATTTGTGGATTAGCAAGTTTTGCGGGTGATTCTCATGCTCAGTGAACTTTGAGAACCCACTGGCTACAGCAAGCATTCTCAACCCTGCCTGTACACAGTAATCCCTGAGCATTAAACAATTTTATTTTCAGTCCAGATAGGTTAAGTCAGACTAATCTGAGTACTGTTTTTAACGGCACCCCCAGTGATTCTAATATGCAAGCAAAGCTGTGAAACACTAAGCTCTATAGCACTGTTACTTGGGGTATATGTACACTCACTGATTTTTGATCATTCTAGGATGTCCTTTTAATTTGGGGCTGCTATGAATTTACCTTAATACATATTAGAAAAATATAACTCGCATACATTTTTCTGCTTGTGGTGATAAATATATAATTTTCTTAAAGAAATATATAAAAGAAAATGAGTGAGTCAATTAAAAATGTATTAAGTAAAAATATAAGTATCTATGAGATGATGAAGGATTCATTTACCTTAAATACTAGCAGAATGAAATATCTCTACATTAGGTACCAATGGAATTATCCCAGTGGCTGGAGTTTGGAGGAGATGCTCCTATTCAAATGTTTGAAATTAGGGCAGTGGTCGGCAAACCAGGGCTCTCAAGCTCTATGGCCCCTTGAATGTGGCTCTTCCACAAAATACCACGGCCTGGAAGAGTCTATTTTGAAGAAGTGGCATTAGAAGAAGTTTAAGTTTAAAAAATTTGGCTCTCAGAAGAAATTTTAATCGTTATACTATTGATATTTGGCTCTGCTGACTAATGAGTTTGCCAACCACTCTCCTATAAAACCCGAGTTCTTCCCCACAATGTCTTCACATCTGTGATTAGTAATGAGAAAAAAAAGTTTCCTCTAACCTCCAAACTCAGTGCTGAGTCAAATGCCAGCAGAGTGATGTGCTTGCTGAGAGCATGTATGTAGGCCTCTGCCTTCCTAAGGGGACAGGTGGGTCATGTGTATCTCTGCATGTCAGTGGGAGAGCGGAGTAGAAGTGTACTCACCTCTTTGTGCACTGGCTGGGGGTGCTGAGGTGAGCATCTCTCAGCCGGTAAATTCCAAAACAAAGCATGTTGTACGTTTTCAGAGCTTTGCAGAACAGATCACCATAACAACCACCATCCTGAGAGACAACAGAGAGAAGCATCATTTTATCGGCTTGCAGGGAGAGGTCCAGCGGGAGTGGGCCTTTTCAGGAAGGCTTGTTTTGGTGTCTCCTGAGCTGGAGGGTCTGCGCCAGGGGACAGTGGCTGTAAAAGGCAATGTGGTTAACAGCCTACACCCCAAATTGGTGATTTTTTGGGAATCTGATAATAATGAGGTTTTCCCTCAGTTCTCTCTAGCTTTCCACTGTAAGCAGCGAGAGCTCGAAGGAGAAGGCACCTCTGCCTCACGTGGAGGGTGTGAAGCTTGAGGGTTGCAGATGCACGCTAGCTGGGGAGAAGACACCAGCCCGGCAAATTGGTGATTATGTGTAGCCGCAGCATGGCTGCAGTCACTGTGATCTGACCGTGGCGTCAAAGCTGCTCAAGTGATAATTAAAATCCCTGCAAGAAGAAAAGATCCCACCAGGTACGATGGCGACAGACTCTATCAAGTAAGGACTGTGTGAAAAGCACAATTTACGGTCCTCAGACATGGCAAGAGCGGAAGGGAAAATGTTTCCCCAGGAGCTGGCGCTCTGCAGGCTGAATAACCGGAATTCACAGGCCTAATCAGTTCACAGCCACCTTCCCAAGGTCTGGAGCCCCGTATGGAATGTGAAAGCACATTCACTCACTGGGCAATGCTGGCTTCAGGCAGCCAGGAGGCGGCAGGGTGGTGTGTGTTATCATTATAGGAAGGGCACTAAAGAGGACTTCCCTGGGGATAAAGTGACTGCCGTTGTCCTTCCTGTCACTGGGATTTCCATGGAGGCATATCAGAGCCCAATTTTACTATTATTTAAAGTTTTGATCCTTTTAAAATAGCAGTAAGTAGATGGTAGTTAAAAGAGCCACTAACTGCCGAAACTGGTTTGGCTCAGTGGATAGAGAGTCGGCCTGCAGGCTGAAAAGTCCCAGGTTCTATTCTGGTCAAGGGCATGTACCTTTGTTGCGGGCACATCCCTGGTAGGGGGTGTGCAGGAGGCAGCTGGTAGATGTCTCTCTCTCATTGATGTTTCTAGCACTCTCTCTCTCTCCCTTCCTCTCTGTAAAGAAAAAGAGCCACTAACTGTGGGAGCTGCCTTTCAAAAAAGCCCAGTCTAATAGGTCCCTGCCCATAAGTGACCCAGTATATAATGCAAGTCAGTATCGGGGTTTCAGAAGAAATGGAGAAAGTGACCCTCTCCTTGAGCGGTACTATGGTGTGTGCAGTGGGTCTATTGGTTCTCAAGACTTGTGGCCCCTCCCCTTGAACGCAGCCTGGAGCAGGCTGGGAATACGAGTCAAGACTGCAGACTTCTGCCCCAGTGCTGGCACCAGTCCCCTGCAGCAGGGAGGGAGTGGAGGAGAGTGGTTGAGTCCAGCCTCAGATATTAGAAGACCTGCATCTGGAATTAGAGACTTTAAAGGGTCCACAGGAGATGCTATTTGTTGGGCCAGTAGTCGTGAATGTACATAATTAGTAGTAGGGTTTTGAAATCCACCAGTGCCTGGGTCCTATTCAGACACCAAAATTCAGAAACCATGGCCAGGAGTAATTTGTAAAAGCTCCTCATGGGCTATTCGTGTACAGCTGGGCTTAAATAGGTTGGTGTTATCATTATAGAAAGGTATGCCAAGGTCCTTTGAAAGTGTTCCCAGAATTGACTGCATGTTGGCGATACCTAAGGGATATGATTAAGCCACAGGCTCTGGAGCCAGGGTTCCTGATGCAGATTCCTGATAGGGCCAGTCTCCCATATCTTCGAGCCTCAGTTTCCTTAGAGTGTCTGATAATAGAAGGGCTGCCATGAGAATCCAAATGAATGATTATATGTAAAGCCCAGGGCCCCATATACAGCAAACTGTAAACATCACTTCCTATTTACTTTAGAAGGTAGGAAAAAACAGATGCTTAGCTTGCCACCGTTCTTTCGGACCAAGAGACTACCAGCCAGCAGGCTGAGGTGACTTCTTCATGGTACACTCACCCCCAAGTCCGCAAAGGGTCCATCCAACAGCGCCAGCTGGGCCACGCGGCAGCGGTCCCTGTTGGCCAGCGTCTGGGGGGTGCTGTAGCCCCCTCGGAGTGCATTCTCCTCTGCGATCAGAGCCTCGAGCTCTGGCGTGGCTCCTCCTGTCACCAGGGTCCGGATCAGGGTGAGGATGTTGTCGTTGAAGTATGTCTGCAAGAGACGGAGAGAGGCGGGGGAAGTCCTTCAGGCACACATCCCAAAGTCACGACAATTGGCATCCAAATTACAACTCTTCTTGGCATTCCTGTTTAAAGTTCTGGCCTGTCTCTTCAAATAATTTTATGTGGGAAGTGAAAAGACAGCAGCCTCCAATTATTCCATTATTTTTCTCTCCTACTTGGTTCTGCCAAGAAAGCCTGACTTAAAAACCAATTCAGAGGATTTTTATTAAAGGGCTAAAGTCGGAATGATTGGTGTTTCCCATCATTGGTATTGCCAGGGCTGTACATACCGCTTTCCTGTGTACCGACGCGCACCTGGCCCGGGTTGCTAACCCAAGCAGGGCTGCCCCTGAGGCCCTGCTGCCCATGTGCCTAGAAGCTGTCTCCCCCAACAATGGCAAAACTTCCGTGTTGGTTGGCTCTGGCTGGGTGGCTCAGTTGGTTAGAGCATCATTGTCCCAATATGCCAATGTTGGGGGTTCAATCACCAGTCAGGGCACACACAAGAAGCAACCAATGAATGCATAAATGGGTGGAACAATGGAATAGCATTCACTGTTTCTCTCTCTCTCTAAAAAAAAAATACCAACCAAACAAACAAAACCCTACACAAAATGACTTCTGTGTTGGAAGGAAATACCAAGGGCATCATTAAGGCCACATGCTCAACAAATCACATGCTTTGATACAGTCTAACCCAGAAATCAATTAAATATGCTAGAGAAGTTCATGATGAGGTGTGTGTCCTGGTGTGTGCACTTTTGGTTTTTATATAACCTCAGGAGTCTGAGGCAAATACAGCTGACTAGAGAAGCTTCTTTTATATGTACATTTGTCTCACATCTGACACATAACAGATCTGTCAAGAGTAAAACAATTGGTATTTTAAAAGAATTAGTAGGATGTCAAATAAAAGCTCAAAAGAAGACATTTGTCACCCAGCCTAATTAGAAAAAAACAAAAAACCCTCATTTAAGGGTCTGTACTCTATTCTCCCTTGTGAGAAGAATCAAACAGGCTAAATAAAATCCAACCAAATATTGCCGGTGGCTTTGGAGGATGTTCATACCTTCGGGAGCAGGTTAGGAAAGGCAGCTGCATTTGTACTTCAGCAGTTCCTCTAACAGGTCACCAGGCTACACATAGTGGGGAACAAACCAGGGAAGGACAGGTTCCCATCCTGCTTGGCCATCACTAGGTCTACGTCTAGGGGAAGTTGCCTAGTCATTCTGGGCTTTTCTCATTAGTAAAATAAGCACAGTCATAAGACCAAGTGTACATGCAATGAATTCTATGAGGGCTTCTGAGATCAGATGAGAGCTAGTGGGGCTGAGTTCATTTTCCTCATGGAAATATTCACAAAAACACCCACGTGATACAAAATTCCAAGGTCAAAGGAAACGAGGAGTGTTATTCAGAACCAGTCAGACCCCTAGGAGAATGTATCCTCTATCAGAGCTCAGCTGGGCAGAGGCAGAACAAGGATGAGCAAAGGGGGAAATGATGCTAGGGTGTGAGTGTGCATGTGTGTGTATATAATGGTATATGTCTATTATCTGTCTGGGTAGATTGGTAGGTACATGAATTGAGAGAGAGAGAGAGAGAGAGAGAGAGAGAGAGAGAGAGAGAGAGAGAGAGAGAGAGAGAGAGAGGGAGGAATAGATAGATGGCTGGATGAATGGATGGGTAGATGGATGGATAGATGGATAAATAGACATGGTTCAAGGAGGTGAGTCAGGCTGTGGGTTCAATGCTGACCTTAGAAGCTAGATGACCTTAGAAAGTTATTTATCACTTTTGTGCCTCATTTCATGATCTGTAAAATGTAATAATAGAGTGGTTGTAAGGACTGTATAATCAAAACATATGAGGCATCTAGACAAGTGTATACAGCAAGCTCTGATAGATAACACAGACTCAGGGCCATTATAATGACAGAAATAGTCAGCTCATTCCTATTTTAAAAATCTTTTATAATTATTTTTTATGTGGGAGGGAAAAAAGGCCATTAATTTCATTGCTGAATCCACACTTCTTAGTCTGCCTTTATTCTAAGACCTAAGACCCAGTTTAGATCCCATTTAGGCCCAGAAGTGGCAGAGTGAGGGTTGGAGTGGGGACATGGGAGGAGGGGATTGCATCCTAGGACATGGCTGCAGCAATGGGAGACAGGCCACCACGAGGCTCAGAGCACATGTACAAACATTTCCAAAGTTTTTCAAGAGACATACTTGTCCCCACTGCCAGATAGCCTTGCATTAGAAGCAGGAGACCCCTCTTCAGTCTTGCAGCACATCACATGGGTGAGTGCTGGACACAGAACTTCAGCAAGAGCTTCTGCATTATAATCACCCTTTCAGAGCAAGGCCAGTGGGGGAGTGTAACAGCACACGTGGTAGACAACAGCACCCCATGATCTTGTATACTGAAAAAGGGACCTCTCCTGGCTCAGATGTAGAGAGAGAAGGAAAAAGAGCCAATGTAAGTATTGTTAAAAAGGACCTCAGTATTTCAGATGTAAAGGAAAAGCATTCTGTTGACTGGTTACATCAGTCAATATTGGAAGAAAAAAAATTGTTTTGAAATCATAATAAATTATTTTAAAACTAGAGAGTATCTAATACTAACAAGTCATAATTGAGATGACCTAAATATTTACTTCCTATAACTTAATCAATATTTTATGTAAGGTCTTGCTTGGGATCAAACCTGCAACTCAGGCATGTGCCATGGCCAGTGTGGCTCAGTCTGTTGAGTATCATCCCATGTACCAGAAGGTCATGGTTTGATTCCTTGTGAGGGCATATGCCCATGCTCCCGGCTTGATTCCCAGTAGGGGGTGTACAGGAGGCAGCCATGGATGTTTTCCTCTGACATCAGTTACTCTCTCTCCCTCTCCTTTCCTGTCTTTCTAAAATTAATAAAAATATGTATATTTTTTAAAAAAAAACACAATCCTACTTAGAAAAGCATAGGTGTGGCTCCTTGGCCTCTAACTGTTGATGGTTCTCGGTTCCTGTAAGTAGACCGAGTAGTGGGCTTTGAGGAAACCAACAAATGCTGGGGAAGGGCCACTGATTGCAACCTGGAACTCTGAGCCCGCAGCGCCATCTAGCCACTCTGTGGAAGCCCCTCTGCCAGCCTGTCTCCAACACGCCCGCCAGAGCATCTTCCTCTTTTTATTTTTTTACAGTATAATTACCAGAGCTTATGTTTCACAGTTAATGCTGTCAAGGCTTTTAAACTAATTGGTCTTTTATAGAAAATTTAACTGAAAATTAACACATCTTTTAATAACATTGCCTTAACTTTAATGGCACTTTGCCTTTCGTTTATAATTGCTCTAAAATTGTCATTTTCCATGTCATAGCTGCCATTTTTTATATTTCCTAGTTTTCATGGTGTGGATTTTATTTTTAGTATTTTTCTTTCATGAGGGATGAGAACTATTTGATTTTTTTTTTTTTTTTTCCCGACCCTGGGCCTGCCTGGTCTAACGAGACAGAGTGGCATGTTCTAAGCTCAACAGAACGTACTGAGCTCAGAACGTTCTGAGCTCAACAGAACGTTTGCCACGCTGACAACTCCCCAGCTGTGCTGCCCGGCTTGGAGGAGTAACTTACTTGTTAGTGGACTTTACTTCATTTAGCTTGGGTTCCCCAAGAACTTGGTCTTCTCTATGACACAGTTCAGGGGTTCGGACCTTAATGCAAGTACAACTAAGAGAGTCAACTATGTGCGTCCAGCTTCCCAAGGTCACATTCTAAGGCTAAGGGAGTATCCAAAGGTAGCATCATCTAATCAAGGCTGAAGTGTCCAAGGACATACTTAAAACTTGACTGGACGTGGCCTTTTGTACTCAGCCTGCCTGGTGTGGCTGATGGCCTGGCCTGTCTGACTGCATCCTGGTATCCTCTCCCAGGTTTATCACATTCAAACCACAGTGCTCTTCACTCACCCCCTCAGACAAACAAAGCCCAGCTCATCACTGCTCTTCAACCCTCGCCTTTCTTTTGCCTAGGAAAATGAGGCTCCCCCGTCTCTTCTGACTTTTCAGTGCCAGTGTCAAAGTTACTGCCCGAGGTAGCATGATTCTGACCACTTTTGCTAAAACAGGGCTCCATACCTACTGAAACGCTTTCATGTGCTTCAAATCAGCCATCCCTGCCTGATGGTACTCATGTCCTACTCGGTTACTGCTGCTTGGATTAGAATGAAGGTTGGGGTAATGTGAGGGCTGGTCTTCACTTTCTTCTTCTCTGCCTGGCATTGAGTAAGCCCCAACGTAGTGCTTAATAAGAACAAGCACATATAGAGCTTGCCATGTGCTAGGTTCTGCACTAGTCACTTTACATCCTTATCTCTTTGAATCACCTCAATAGTCCCATGACATAGGGACTATTATCACCCCACTTTACAGATAAGAAAACTGAGGCACAGAGAGGTTAAGGGAACAGAGACGGTACATTGGAGATGCTGGGAACAGCATCCAAGCAGTTTGGCTCTTGAGTTCATGACTTTTCTTTTTAGGGAGACTCCTGGTGGAACTCAAATCCAGGATGAGAATAGGGGAAGTGGCAGCAGTGGGGAAAAGAAATCTGGATATCCATGTGCCCATTTCAGCTCAAACTACAGAGAAGCTTCTTTTCGTGTGTGTGTGTGTGTGTGTGTGTGTGTGAGAGTGAGAGAGAGAGAGAGAGAGAGAGAGAGAGAGAGAGAGAGAGAGAGGAGAGAGAGAGAGAGAGCAGCAAGTTGGTGTTATAAAAAAATATAATTTTTAGTCATGATCTTCTTAGAGGCATGAGCCCATAAACATAATTATTCCCTCTTGCCATGAGTTTCTGCTGTGGATTTGTGGTAGAAAGCCATGAGGCCATGTCTGCAACATCCCTATCTGTTCCAGGATTGCCTGTGATGAGTCAAAACATTATTATTTTAACAAATGAAGCAGTAAGCAGCAGGAGTGGAGTTCTAAAGGACAATATTCAGGGGATGTTTAGACACGTGATTAAATGGCAATTCTAGGAGGTGTGCTAGGAAAGAGAGAGCATCATCTAAAGAGACGTGTGTGGATGTCCTGACGAGTCTGTAAGCGAATGGCTGCGATGGACGCTTACCTCTGGCTCCTACTGTTTTGGGGAGCCTCACTTTCTCAATTTATAATATATTTCTGTCCACCCTGTCTTGGTACTTGACACTCTCTCTCTCTCTCTCTCTCTCTCTCTCTCTCTCTCTCTCTCTCTTTCTCTCTCTCTAATTAATTAGGGTTGGAGTGGAATGCAAAGAAATCACAGACAAGATTTTATTAGAAGGTGTAGATCCAGTGCCTCCATCCCCACCCCATGCCCAACATGTATCCCCTTGGCTGTGTAGAGCTGAAGTTCTCTGAGGCTCAAAACCAGCTTTATTCCTTGGACCCAGAGCTGGTTTCATGGGTGTGTGGCCTGTGTCATCACCCAAGGTCCTTGCTCAGAAGGGCCCCTCACTTGATTTAATATTGCCACCATTTTGAAATTCTTAATTATTTATGAAAAAGTGGCCTTAACATTATGTAAGCTAGTCCTGCCTAGCATAGACTGAATGTCTGGTATGTCAAAACATAAATAATTTTATAAATTTTAAAATTTTGATAATAATATTTAATAATGTATTTGCAATTCTGAAAATAAAAATAAACAGTTTAATTATCTCCTAGTGAGAACAACCTTCTATAATCTCTCTAACTAGGATCAGAAGTAAAACAACATTTTCAAAGAGACGAATTACAGAAATCCGCTGGAAACGAAATTTGGAGACTGGAAGGACCATTGCAGAGAATGCCATAGTGTAACAAGCTTCCAGTATTTGTTCTGCCTGCTGAAGGAGGCTGTCCCCACTGAGCCCCACATCCCCAGCCGGCAGTAAGGTGGGGCTCAGTATGCTCAGGCCACCAGGAAGACCACAGCCTGGGAAACCTAGAACGGTTCCCTGGGGACCACTTCCTTTCCTTCTTGGCTTGGAAAGCGGTGGTATGGCATGGAGCCCAGTCAGCCTTAATTCAGATGAATGCTGTTTTATAATTATTTTTAAATCCATAATTCTGATTTTTAACTCAGATATACTTGCAGTTGGACCACATTCAGCAATATACAATAACCTAAAAAAAATCTTTAAAAGCTTTATTTTTTTTTTCTTTATTCAAATAGAGGTCCTTCGGGGATAGTCTTTGATGAATAGATGAGAATAACACATAATTAGCATATCAGTTGTATAACTTGTTCAGGAGAATAGCCTTCTTAAGCTCTTTAAGAAATATATGTGTATAAAACCTCTCTGAGTTATGTTTATGATCTTAATGTGTTCAATAAAACTCTTTTTCACGGATTCTCCAAAGGTCAGTGTTTATCCAGTCTATGTCTGCATTTTCAAAAATTGCGAACTTGAGAATTCCAAAATATAGAGCCTTTTCTATATAATAAATAAAGACACTCAGTGGGAACATGTCACAGTCCGCAGGTTATGATCCATTCAAATGTCTGCTTTTATAGTTCAGGATGGCTCCATTAGCTGGGACCTATTTTTCAATTCTTCTTTACTTTTAGTCTCAAAAGTGAATAAAACACTGCACATCAAGTTATAGAGAAACTAAAGATGCTTTTGGTCTCTCCGCTCTCTACCACCACTCCAGTCCACACAGTTGGGGTCTGGCCCTCATGTCAGGACCTCACTCCTGGTCCTCACGCCCAACTTATGACTCAGTGACTGGCACTGACCTAGGAGTCACTCTTGACACTTTGTTCTCTTCATGTTCAATATATTCCCAAGTCCTTTCAATTTTACCAACAAACACCACTGAAATCTACACAACTCCTCCTCTCTACAGCCCTATCCTAGTCTGAGCTATGGGAACCTCCTACTCAGACTGCCTGCAGCCACCCTGCCTCCTGAACCATCCTCCATACCCCAGTCCAGGCAGCCCCCTTAGAATGTACATCTGATCACACTTTCCAGCTCCAAGCCTTTCGTCCCTCCTCATCGCTCTTTAAATAAAAAGACCATCAGGCTTGGTGGCTCAGTTGGTTGAGCATCATTCCCTGCTCCCAAAGGTTGCTGGTTCAATTCCTGTTCAGGGCATAAACCTGGATTGCAGGTTTAATCCTCAGTTGGAGCACATACAAAAGGCAGCCAATGGATGTGTCTCAAATCTCTCTCTCTCTCTCTCTCTCTCTCTCTCTCTCTCTCTCTCTCTCTCTCTCTCTTTCTCTCTCTCTCTCCCTCTCTCTCTCCATGTCCTAGGATAAGGATAAAACAAACAAACAAACAAACAAAAAACACAAAACAACCTTGCCTTGTCCTCCCATCCCTCTCTCACTGTGGTTCACCCACACAGGCTTTCTCTGGCTTCCTTGAGATTGTCAGGTTCAACCACCCCAAGGCCTTTGCATTTGCTTTCCTCTTTGGGAGATAGTGTTCCCCACAAAATCTCCCCTCTTTATTGCTCAGATTTTGATATAAAATGTGTATTATTTCTTTATGGAATCTCTCCAACCCTGAGACAAGCCACATGCTCACCTATATTTATTCAGAGCCTTCCTTGAACCTACAAGAATTTGAATCAATGTTTATGTGCTTGATAATTTGAAGAATGTCTGGATCCCCTTCCAGGCTCCACGGCCACTCATGCTCTAGTCCCGTACCCCCTCATTCAGGAGGTCTCCACTCCTGGATCCTGCACCCACTCACCGCACTCATGAGAGAGTCCAGGACGCTGACAGCAAATGCTGTCCCACAGGCAAATGGCTGCGTGAGGTACAGTTCTGTGTCCGGATCATCATCATCGTCTTGGTCCAGAAACTGAACATTAGTATCATTCACTAGAAAAAGCAGAAATAAGAATTAGCTCAAAAAGAACGCCACACGGTCAGCAAAACCAGAGGAAGAGCAGGCTAGTGGTTTAGAAACAGCACGGTCACTGGAAAGGAAAGCATGAGAGAAGCTGTGGATGGGTCTGGGGGTGGGGCCGTGGGGCTCAAGGGACTGCTCCTCTTGACTGTTCCAGATTTCGAGGCCCGAAGGGCAATGCATTCAGGCAGGCTTGCCCCATGGCAGGCTGCGGGAGGACCAGCGCGGACAGTGCTGGCCAGTCCTTTGGTATAGTTTTGGAATCATGACCGAAAAACATCCTGCCGTGTTTTTTGGTAGCCAAGCCCTTTGAGAGGCCGACAGATTTCAAGGATGAGTAGCCAGGATTAGCCATGCTGGATGGTAAGTTGAGCCACAAAGAAAAGAAAGCAACCTATTAAGAGTGAAGAACCATTGGCCGGGAGCACAGCAGAGGCAAAGAGCAAAGATTTCACCCACAGGCAGACACAGCCCACGCCCTGCCCCCAGATCCGACTGGATAGTGGCTGGTGTCCCCAGTCCTGAATCTGGGGGACACCTCACAAGCCATGCTCATACAAAGGCGACCCCACGTGAGGTGTTTGCGGGCTGCCTCCAGCAAGCAGCTCACAGAGACTTGCTCTTCATCTGGGGCCCCTGGGATGCCCACATTCTCCCTTGCCTCTCCTAAACAGCTGTCTTCCCTGTGCCTCAGCATCTGCAGCCCTGGGTGCCCTCAAGGACTCCTCCGGCACGTGCGTGCAGATTGATGGGCTGTGTCACTGAGATGCCTTTAACTTATTAAAGATGGAATGACAAATTAATTTCCATTCCCATCTTGACTTCAATGATCAGTTTTGCAGAGCAAGTAGCAGCGGGGGAAAGACTGTGGTGGGAGAAGAGAGCACTCGTGGTTTCTAGAATAATTATTGTGCTTTTAGGAAAAGAATAGATTCAATTTCCTTTTTCAGATTCCTTTCTAAAGTATCAGCAGCTAATTCTCTTTGCTAGAGTAGTTTTCCCCCCCAAAGTAATATTTTGTTCTGGTATTTAAAAAACACACACACACACACACAAAAAAAACACAATTTTTTTCTAACTTTTGTTTATGTATTGTATGAATCAGAATAAATGATAATAGGATCGAAAGCTAGGCATGGAATTATGTTTAAATGACACTTTCCCTAGAGAAAGATTTTAAGGGGGAGAAATCTTGGCTCTGGTCTTTCTCAGTTTATCACATCCGGGTCCCAATGGTCTCAGCAGCACTGAGTCACAGGCTCGAGGGTGGAAGTGCAAGACTCAGGGTCTGACAAGCAGGCTTTGGCTTCAGGCTCTGCACTAACTCCCTCTATCAATCATCACAGCACACCTCAGTTTCTCCCTCCGCAGATGGGGCATGACAGCCCCTCTTATGAGGTCGCCAGGACACCACTCTGCTTGGCCAGCATCTTGACAGATGTCAGCTGCTCTCAGAATCGCCTTTCTGACACTAGACCTTCAGTCCACCCCTTTCGTCTGGAAATCCCCAGCTTTCAGAAGCCCATAAGGCCTACTCAGGGATCCTACCAGGGTCAAATCATAGCTTCCCTGCTCCCTTCATGTACCCTCAAGCATGCTGTGGGTTGGCCACGGTTGAATCTTCCTACTTTGTGAATCAGAAAATGTGACCTGGGACAACATGCAGAGGTCGAGGTTTTAATTACTTGTCATAGCTCAGGAGGGAGTGTGTATGGACACCCCAAAAGGAAGAGTGTCAGTTACCTCTTTTCATGATGATGAGGAAGAGCTGGTACTAGACTTAGAGGGGCAGTAGCCAAAGCAGGGAGAGGTGACACTAAATTTTCAATGAGCTGGGGTTTGAGTCACTGGTAACAGAGTTAGGGTGTGAGCCAGGGTTCAGTGAAAATCCTGTGCACAGTTCTGGGGTTCCCAGTCTTACGAGGAGGACAGCCTCATCCTATGTTACAGAACAGTCGTTATGCAGGTGCTAAGAGGTGATTAAAGCAATCAACCCAATAGGTACAAGGTCAAATTCAACTGGGAAACAGGTAAGTTGAACAGCTTTTAAATGGTCCTTCCTGTGGGACTTCTAGGGGGCTTGGACTCACCACCACTGACTAGAACTCTCCAAATGGGTGACGACTGGAATATACCACACAATTTTAAAAGTTTGTTTGACCTTGGCATCCTCTGTGGTTCTCAAATTGCATTTGGCTGGGTTGGAGTATGCAGAACACATCTCAAAACATATAGCAGGCAAATAGTAAATGTCTGTGGGGGCTGGGGAGGGGAGGTGGTCAGAGAACGATTGTATGATTGCCCAAGGTGGTCTGACCACTAGAAAAATCGGGCTTAAAGTTGAAGGCACAGGCAATGGGCATCATGGGAACATGGGAAGTTCTCTGAGCTAAGGGGAGACATCTGGTGAGGACAAAGGCCTCAGGAGACTCAATGATGCTCATTGAAGGCCTGAATTATTGCCTCAGATTTAGGACACCAAGCTGTTTCTTTTCTCTTTACTAATCACAGGTCAAGATGTCCTGGCTAGCTGGCAGTGCATGAATTCCAAATGGGAAAAGCAAATCCTAAGTGAGAATTCTGAAGTGCTCTGAAGGCTTCTGAGATAGACACGTTTGCATGGATTTCCCAGCCAGAGGTCGGGCCTGCAGGAGCTCCTGGGCTCTCTGACAACAATAAGATTTGGGGCTGACCATTCCCGAAACCGAGGCTCCCAGCCAACTTCTCTAAACAGGAAAAGACACCTCTTCCACCGGGAAAACAAAAAATAGTGTGATCCTCCTCGACCCGAGTGAATTTGTCCTGATAAATAGCCACATCTACAATAATGTGGTGCTGAGTGGTGGACAATTTATCCCTTAACTCCTAGGCACCTTGCAAGCACGATTACTGTGTTAAAAGCTGCTCTTTTATTTTGAAATATATTTGGGGGCCAAGAAAATGGCATGTTGGTTTCATTTGTGAGTCATTTGAAGGCAGGTGCTCCCACCTCTCTGTCCAGCCCTCCGCCGAGCAGCACTTTGGCTGTCTCTATTTAGAAGATCAATTCCCAGTTCTGAGACCTGCTGCTGACGGGTGCCTTTCAGAGGAATTAACCAAGTCATGGGCGCCCGTGCAAGGGCCTGACAAATGCAGTCATGACCCGGCCCTTCGTCTTCCCGATTCAGTCCACACTGAATCTCCTAGAGCAGGTTCTGGGCCAGCAGGGAGGGGTCAGGGCTGTGCCCCCCGTGCTGCTAACCTCATTCTTGGCACCCTTCCTAAAATCTGCTTCAGAAAGAAAAGGTCCCCTAGGAGCCTGTTGCTTTTATAGCTTCAGAACCAGAGCTTCTGAGAAAGGGCCTCGTGTGAAAGAAAAAGCAAATAAAGTCAGAATAAAGGAAAATAAACAGCTGGAGGGAAGGCACTATCTTAGGTTTCTTATCTTAAAATTTTTATATTTTTCCTTTGGCTTCCTCCGAGAGCTGTGAAGACATGTCAGTCAAGCTGACAGTGTGTTGGAAGAGGAGTGTAAGGGAGAAGGCGGGAGAGCAGGGACACACGTGGAAAAGAAAAAAAAGAAAAAAGAAAGAAAGAAAGAAAGAAACGAAAAAGAAAAAACCACAAGGCCCAGGCCAAAGAAAATGCATTAGAGCAAAGATGCTTTGAAAACAACTGCCAGGTCAGATGGGTGTGATCAAAGATTCCCTGGTGCCGTGTGGGGGGAAATCATTAAGAAAGGCCAGAACAAGACAGTCGATTCCAACCAGAGCCACAAATAAAACGCATTCAAAGCAGTGCCATGGGGTAGCCTTTCTGTTGCAGCCAGCAAAATAAAAAAAAAAAGCTGATGACGGCTGGGAACACCAACAACAGAACAAAAGAGATACTGATGTAAAGGAAAACAGTGCTTCTTACCCAGTTCAGTTATCATTAGAATGTGCGTCCCACTGTTTTTTTCCTGATTGACTGATACCAAAGGCAACTTGCCAGGTTTAGCTAATTGGATACAGCGTTTAAGGGTTGGGGAAAGGGAGTGGAGGAAAGTACAGAAAAAGAAGAGAGTGAGGGAATAACAGAGGAAACATTCTAAAGTAAAGGGACCCGGGACCTGGCCCATAGGTAGGTGGCATTTATAGTGGAAGCAGGGAGTGTCTTGGCCAGGTGAAAAAATGGGATTCCATTGGCCAATCATTGTGGCCCTCAAATCCCCTTCTCTTTGGTGCCCGAGTGGCATTCACTGAACATGACCTTTGTCTGAGAAGTCCAGTTAGGACAGATTAAATGTAGCATTATGGCACATTAGGCCAACACTTCTCCCCAGTTTTCCAAATGGGGTTTGCTGAGAGCTGGAACTTCGTGCCTTGGTGGAGGGTTCTGACTATAGGAGCTGTCCAGAGGTGTTTCCCAGGAACATTACCAAGAGTCCATAGGCTATCCCTTTCCTTCCTTCTTCTCCTTGCCCTGATTGATGCCCCAGTTTAAAATCCATCATCACATATTCCTTTGAAAACAGTGCTTAGATGAAGGAAACTGTCTATTCATCTCAGAGGAAACATAGATCAGTTTTGCCTTTTGCTAATCTGATCTTTCTACACATGCTTTCTTCAATCTCCTCTAAACAAATCCCACTAGAGTCTACTATCTTGAAGGAGCTAAAAACAAAACAAAACAGGCCAACCTCCTCTTATCTGACATGGTTGGAAGAGAGAACCAAAAAGTCTGCCCATGGCTGCCGTTCACTCCTACCTAGTTCAGTGATGATGGGGATGTTGACCCCAGTTGTGATGGATGGCTGACGCAACATCCCATGCACTGGGCTGTTGTCCGGCGAGGTTCTGTCCATTCCCGGAGGTGTGAACCCTGGTGGGAAGGAAAAAGAGAAGGGAGAAAATTCAGTTTTGTGGAGAATTTGGAAATCATGAGAGTTCAGGATATATACACAATTTTAAAAAAATGTAGCATGTGCATTATTTATAGGTCAACAATTCGCATTTCCAGGATACTCTGATGAATTGTTTTTAGAAGAACAGAGTAGGAGACTATTGGAAAAAATTGTAGCCCACTTTGATAGTTCTCTAAAAACCAGTCTCTGCAACAATTGTTGGTCTTGCTCACAGAGTTTTGTCCCCCTCTCTATGCAGGCAGACATGAGAATTACAGCCCAGGGCCTCCTTGAAGTTGGATGTGACCAAGCAACTTAGGAAATGTTCTGACCTATGGAGAGTGAACAGAACCCTGCATATCATCACTTTTGGTACAAATAACTCACCGCCTGTCCTCCCAGACCATGGCAACCATAGAGAAGGCTGGGAAGCAGCCCTGGACAGCAGCCCAGACCCACAAAGCATTCTGAGTGAGGGAACAAGCAATCTGTATTGCTTTAAGACACTGAGATTTGTTTGTTGTCAGCACAGCATGACCTAACCTATCTTGTTATCATAAGCCTATTGATTGCTTATTCTCTTGCCAACGAGGCTTACCTAGGTTTTTGACACCATTCTGGCCAAGGGGAAGCGTTTGACAATCTGCTTGGGGGCTTTTAGGGAGTGTTTCCTTGCTCATAAAAAGAATCACATAGGAAGAGAGATTCTCTTTTAATACACTGGAATTGCTTTTGTGCCTGCAGTGCCTGGAACTGTGGCAGCCAACTCATAACTAGGATGGGAACCAGCTGAGGGCAAAGTCAGATTAATGATATCAGCCTAACTGAATGATTGAAAGACAGAACAACAGGAAGAGCAGTCCTTGAGTTCCTGATGAACCAACTCTGGAACCCAAAACCAACTGACCTCAGGATTTCTTCCTACTGGAGATTTCATACACATACATATACATATACATATACACATACACATACACATACACATATACATATACATGTATAAAATATAATTATATGTATAGAATAATAAGATTTCATATAAATTAATTATATATAAATTTTATATAAATAAATTATATATGTAAACTATATGATTATATGTATATAAGATTTTATATAATTTTATATGAGTAAATCACACATATAAATTTTATATAAATAAATTATATATAAGCTATATACATTTCTATATATATCTATATAACTATATATCTACATGTTTGTATATCTATATATAAAATCTCCTATAGGAAGAAATTCTGAGGTAAGATGGTGTATATATATATATGTGTGTGTGTGTGTGTGTGTGTGCGCGTGTATGCCTTTTGTTTATTAGTTACTTTTTAAAATTAGTTGGTTTTTGTTTTTATACTTGCGACTAAAGTCATCCTGACTGATACATATGCCACTTGCTCAGAGTGGACCCGTGAACTTCCCAGTGTGCCTAACACAGAAGTGGTCACAGTGAACTTGAAAGTAGCCTATTTGGTTTATGATTTCTGTGGTCTGGGTTTCTTTGGGTGTCAGACCCAAATCCCAAGTACATATTAGGATGAGCTTAAGCCAGCCACAACTTCAAGATCTGTGAGGGTGAGAAATTGTCCCAGCTAGGCTGAATGGCTCTTTAAGGATGTGCACAGACACATATGAACATGAGACATTCATTTGCCTCACACATTCATGCAGTGAAAATTAATTTAACTGAGACAAGCACGTGGCAAGTGGGTACGTACCTCAGCTCTGTGCTGGCTGCAAGGCCCCTTCTGCTCCTCTACCTTAGAGGCCAGGCAGACACATTCACTCTGGCTTTTCTTCTTTGCCCCTGAAGGACTGCTATGTGGGCTCATCAATGAGTTGGGGATTTACAGACACAAAGTCACTTGTTAGGTTCCCAAGGACAAAATTCCAAGTAGATTGTGTGGCCAGTCTCCCCACTTACTCTGCCGTGATGTGACAAGATGGGCTTGACTCTGGCATGATGCTGTGCGTGACTCCCTCTCAGGAAGGAAGTGACAGGGGCTCACTAACTGCCTGTTTGGGAGGTGCGTGATGCACGAAATGCCAGGAAAAGATAAAAATGTTTGCCTATTTTCTGCTCTTCCGTATACAAATTTCATGCTATTGAATGCCATACTGACAGAACGAAAAAAAAGTTTTATTTACTTTTCATTCCCTGATTGCATTTAATGATTTTCTTTATATGGACACACTATGTACTGGGTAAGTCATTTTCAATTGCATGGTAGTGTCCACCTTTCTGAACTTTGGAATGTGTGTGTCTCAGCCAACCCCATAATCAAGAACATGCATGTAGAATGCCAGCTGTTTCCTTGCCCCCGAAGAGTGAAGGGGAAACTAAACTGTTTTCATCAGAAGTTTCGTTCAAAAGCATGAAAAACTGCAAGTGACAGCTGCGCACATACAGTGAATGTGACGTTTTTGAATTTCTTCAGCTTGACAAGTAAACACCTTAAATCGGCAATGCTATATGCATAATACATGGCCTGCATTTTGACATCCATCATCAAATGCTGACTTGAGAAAATACGGGTTTGTACGTCAAGGAATAGCACCGTCAAGCAGGGAGAAATGCGGGTCCCATGGTATTAGGAAAACTGTATTTCATTACTGAACCTGCAACGAGCCAAAGTGTCCTTTTATTTCATCTTATTTAAAAATCCCATTTGCAGCTGTGAAAAGACTCAATCCCTTTGCATGAAACCTTCATTTAGAAATGACATGCTTGCTTCAAGGGCCTCTTTCATTTTGCTTTCATATTCCATTTTCTCCTTCAGTCACCAAGCCCAGCTCCATTAGCATCTGCAAACTGACAAACTATGGTGGGGTCCACAGACACCTCTCCATTAAAGGTCCCTCTCTCTCCTACGCATGACCCCAAGGACAGGGTGCTCAGGAAAACATCAGCAACTTTAATGTCTCTTTCTCTTTGGATACTTTTCAAGTCACACATTTTTAAGGGTTAAAAGAAAGACGAAAGACATAGACTCTGCCCTCCTCCTCCTCCTCTTGGGTGTAGATTGTGTTAAAGATGAACAGAATTTATGAGCATTGTTTCTTCACACAGTCCTAATATGGGAGCATTGTGGTTGAAATGGCAGATTCTTTAAGTGATCTTGGAGAGAATGGAATTCAGCCACCTTTGCTCTGGCTGGCTTGGCTCAGTGGATAGAGTATCGGCCTGCGGACTAAGGGGTCCGGAGTTCGATTCCAGCCAAGGGCACATGCCTGGGTTTCAGACTAGGTCCCCAGTGGGGGGAGTGCAGGAGCAGCTGGCCAATGATTCTCTCTCATCATTGATGTTTTTATCTCTCTCTCCTTCTCCTTTCCTCTCTGAGATCAATAAAGAAATATATTAAAAAACAAAAAGAATTAATCCACCTTCCATCTGAAGGGATGAGACAAGCCCGCCTTTGTTGCCACTAGATGTCATCTACCCAGTTTGTCAGAGCAGCAGTTGATAAAGGGACAGGTCCAAATTGTGTCCAGGTCTCTGAATGCCTTCCGCCCATTGTTGTTTGCAGCAGTGGACACATGGTTGGTTGAACTTTAATTCTCTCTCTGCAGGGACATGGAATAAACTATAGGGATTCTATACAACTAGAGAAAGTGAAGCTGGGAAACACTCACTAATTAAACCAACACTTGGGAAACCAATTTTAGGACAACCACTTATTTCCCCAGAATAGGTGAGTAAAAATGAAGACAGTGGAGAGATGAAGTGAAAAATTCTCAGTCAGGAAAAGAGTCAAGTTCAGTGATCTACAGCTCTGGCTCTTCCTGAGGTGGTCTCTGGATTATCTAAATGTGTCTCCATTGTTTTCTGCTGGTTGTGGACGCGGGAGGCAAGCTTTGAGCTAAATGTGGCCTCCAAAGAAAACCCGATTTCCTTAAATTGAAGACCCCTCCCCTTTCCAATCCTCAAGGGCAGATGTGGCCGGCTTAGGTTATCTGTCCTATTCTTGTGGCAGAGGCATAAATGGGCCCAAGCGGGCCCCTTGCCAAGCATGGTCGTTCCCTATGCTGTATGAGAACTTTAGGCCAGAGACTGGGTTTTCTATTTCTTTGAACTTTCCAGGTTGTTTACAGAATGCCGGACAATAGAGAAGAAACAGAGTAGGCTTTATGGTCAAATGTCATGAGTTCAAACTCTGCCTCATCCACTAATTAGACACATAACTGTAAGCATAGCACAAATTTTCTTCAAGCAGCTGATTCTTTGTCTATAGACTGAAAGTATCTCCTATATAGGGTAGTTGTGAAGATAACATCAAATGGTGTGCCCAAAACATTTTGTGCAGCCCTGGCCACTGTCCTCAGTGGTTAGAGCATCGCCTGAGCACCAAATTCCTGGTCAAGGGTACATACTTATACATCTGGGTTCACTCTTGGCTCCCTGTCAAGGTGTGTTCAGGAGGCAACCAGTCAATGTGTCTCTCTCACATCAGTGTTTCTCTCTTTCTCTTCAGCTCTCTCTTCCCCCTCCTTCCCTTCCATTCTCTCTGAAAAGCAATGGAAAAAAATATCCTCATGTGAGGATTAACAAAATATAAAAAAGTAAAAACATTTAGTGCAATGCTTCCTATAAAGCAAGTACTCAAAAATGTTGACTACTGATATTACTATTTTACTAGGTACATGATAAATATTTATGGATAGGCATAGCATTTATCAGCATCCCTTCTCTACACATAAGAAACTGTTGTAGCTTTTCGTAGCTTTTGTTTTTAAGGATAAGGATGCTCAGTCAACTTCATTAGAGAGGGAAAACCTCTAGCCAAAGAGCCATACAGCATCAAGCATGTGGTTTTCATCGGTTTTTGTTTTGTATTTTACTCATTTATTTATTTACTTATTTGGAGAGAGAAAGAGAGAGAGAGAGAGAAAGAGAGAGAGAGAGAGAGGAAGAGATCCATCAGCCACCTTCAGCATGCCCCCTACTAGAGATCGAGCCCGCAAC